CTAGGATTATGTTTGAAGTCCAGGCAGGCGTCAGAAGTGTTCAAACCAGAGCAACTCCGTCTTAAATAGGAGCTGGGTACAATGAGGCTAAGACCTACTGGGCTGCACGCCCAGATGGTTAAGGCATTCTAAGTCACACGATAAATTAGGAGGTCAGCACAAGATACAGGTCATAAAGACCTTTCTGATAAAACAGGTTGCAGCAAAGAAGCTGGCCAAAACCCACCAAAACCAAGGTGGCCACTAGAGTGACCTCTGATGTTCCTCACTGTTACACTCCCATCAGCACCATGACAATTTACAAATGCCATGGCAACATCAGGAAGTTACCCTATATGGTCTAAAAAGAGGAGGCAGGGAGGGGAACATCGTATACCAGAGACTGTTGGTGGGTGGGGGAGGTGGGTAGGGGAGGGATAGCATTAGGAGAAATACCTAGTGTAGATGATGTGTTGATGGGTGCAGCAAACCAGCATGGCACAGGTATACCTATGTAACAAACCTGCATGTTCTACACATGTATCCCAGAACTTCAAGTATAATAGAAAAAATAAAATAGAATAAAAATTAAAAAGGGGAGGCATGAATAATCCACCGCTTGTTTAGCACATCATCAAGAAATAACCATAAAAATAGGCAACCAGCTCTGTCTGTGGAGTAGCCATTCTGTATTCCTTTACTTTCTTAATAAAATTGCTTTCACTTTACTCTATGGACTCTCCCTGAATTCTTTCTTGTGCAGGATCCAAGAACCCTCTCTTGGGGTCTGAATCAGGCTCCCTTTCCTGAAACACAGGTATGGCCTACAGCAGCCTCAGCAGCCTCAGGCATGGCACCTCCACCTCCCTCTTAGACCTCATCTCCTTTACTGTGCCCTGCCTTTCACCATCTAAGCGCCAGCAATCCTGTACTACCTACAATTTCTAGAAAACACCAAGCCATTTCCTGCCTGGGCCTTTGTTCACACAGCCTCCTCTGCTTAGAACACCCTGCTCCACTCTGCCCACCCTCACCACTGGCTTCCAAGGCCCTACTCATTCATTATATCCTCTGGAAAGTTTTGCCTGACATCTGTAGAAAATTGGTCTTCTCCCTCCTTCATTTCCACCTCTCAGACTTCTATTATAGTGCATGAAGTATTGTTTGAGAGTGTTCATTTCTACGATGAAGTGGTTAAGATGAGGAATTTCAAATGTCAGCTGTGCCACTTTCTTGTGTTAGATGACAGCCCTTTCTTCACAACATATCAGTTAAATAGACTAAAAGCACTTGGAACATTGCTGGCATAGGGCGAGTGGTCATTAAGTGTCAGCTATTGTTTTCTTTTTTCTTCTTCCTTCATTGTCAACGTGTTTCCTTTCTTGCCTAGGCTGCTAGGAACCTCTGAGAAAATAATAGGGATAGTCAACACATCTATAATCTCCTCCCTGGTCAGAGGGTGCTTTCTGTCCAGAAAGGGCACATTAAATCAATAATTTTACAACTAAGCAGTGAACTATAATGTTGATGGCCACTGTGAATAAGGAGTATAGGTGCTATGAAAACATATAGCTTGGAAAAATTGAACTGTGGGAGGGGTGGTGTGGTAGGCAGAGTAACAGCCCCCAGAGACATCCCTGTACAAATGCCAGAACCTGTGCATAAATCATCTTACATGGCAAAACAGACTTTGCAGATGTGATTAAGTTAAGGATCCTGGAATAGGGAGATGACTCTGGATTACCACGGTGGGTACTTATGTAACCACAGGGGTCCTCGTACATGAAAGAGAGAGGCAGGGGCATCCGTGTCAGAGTGAGAGGACATGAGAAAGATTTGACTGGCCACTGTGGCTTTGAAGATGGAAGAAGGGACCATGAGCTCAGGAGTGCGGCAGCCTCTAGAAGCTGAAAAAGGCGGAGATGGCTTCTTCCCTAGAGCCTGCAGGGGAAGTGCAGTTTTGCTGATGGACGCCCTGATTGTAGCCTTGGTGAGACCCACTTTACACTTGTGAGCTCCAGAACTGATAATAAATAGAAGATAATGAATGTGCATTGTTTTCAGACACTGAGTTTGAGGTTATTTGTTACAGAAATTGTAGGAAACTAACACAGGTTGTCAGCTCAATGCATTTTTGGGAGAAAAGGAAGAAGTGAGGGAGGAAGGGAAGAGGGGAGGGAAGAGTTTAAACCTAGGGAGATTGAACCAGTAGAAGGAGATAGTCTCTAGGGTCTGCTACAAGCCAATAGCTTCAGATGCTGTTTGTGGGAAGGAAAGCTTCATGTCAGTCAATATTTACTCAAGGGGAGTCTTGGCCTCTGTGCTGTTCCTCATGCTGCTTTGTTATGAGCCACCTTTAGCCTTCATTTTAAAACACTCAAAATCAAACACACTGCTGGCCCCAGGGCTCCTGCAAACATATGGAGTTGAGATCCCCATGGACACAGGAGAAACATTTTAAATGTAGATTAATACTTTAATATGAGCCCAGCTCCAGCACAGTAATCCTTCGTGCCACGTAGCCAGACCTCAGGGGAAGCTGTGATTGGTTTGGTGGGATCACCCAGTCATCTCTGTACACAGAGTCTGCACGACTGTGCCCTGCACTGCCTGACGGTTAAAACAGGATGGAGCTGAGCCAAACTTTGTTTCTCAGCCTCTGACCTAGATTCTTCTGGGTGCCTCCCTGGCCACGCCCATGGAAGAGGGGATAAAGGCAAAGTCTAAGTTCAGAGCTGACAGTCACGTGCCGCAGTGTCCTGGGATATTCACATACCCCAGCGAGGCTTGTTTGATCTGGTTTTTAAAGTTTCTCCCCAGAAAAACCAATATGATCCTCGAATTTTCTCTCTTTCTGCAACAGCAGAAGTTGCTGTCTGGATGGAAAGGCCTCATTCCTTTTTTAAAAAAATTTTTATTTTTATTTTAAGTTCCAGGGTACATGTGCAGGATGTGCAGGTTTGTTACCTAGGAAAACATGTGCCATGGTGGTTTGCTGCACCTAGCAACTCATCACCTAGGTATTAAGCCTGCATTAGCTATTTTTAATAATGCTCCCACTCCTCCCACTCCAGCCTCCAAGAGGCCCCAGTGTGTGTTTTTCCCCTCCCTGTGTCTATGTGTTCGCATTGTTCAGCTCCCACTTAGAAGTGAGAACATGCGATGTTTGGTTTTCTGTTCCTGCATTAGTTTGCTGAGGATAACGTCTTCCAGCTCCATCCATGCCCCTGCAAAGGACATGATGTTGTTCCTTCTTATGGCTGCATAGTATTCCATGGAGCATATGTACCACATTTTCTTTATCCAGACTATCATCGATGGGCATTTGGGTTCTTTGTCTTTGCTGTAGTGAATGGTGCTGCAATAAACATACACATGCATGTTTATTTGTAATAGAACGATTTACATTTTGAGGGGTATATACCCAGTAATGAGATGTGGGTCAAATGGTATTTCTGATTCTAGATCTTTGAGGAATTGCCACACTGTCTTCCACATGGTTGAACTAATTTACATTCCTACCAACAGTGTAAAAACGTTCCTATCTGTCAGAGTTCTAATATCCAGAATCTACAAGGAACTTAAACAAATTTACAAGAAAAAAAAAAACATTAAAAAGCGGGCAACAGACATGAATGGACACTTCCCAAAAGAAGCCATTCATGCGGCCAATAAACATATGAAAAAAGCTCAACATCACTGATCATTAGAGAAATGCAAATCAAAACTACTGTAAGATACCATCTCATGCCAGTCAAAATGGCGATTATGAAAAACTCGTTCCTTATTTTTGACCACACTGCCTCTTCCAGGAATGCTCCACCCAAATGGGGTATTCAGATGGTGATTCCTGTCTCTCCTCTGAGTATCAGCTTTCAGATTTCCTTAGAGAGGCCACCTCCATCTCTCTAGCTAAAGTCAACTCAGTGCAGTCCCTCTATTGTACACCAGGTTTGTCCTTCCAGGACTTGTCATTGTTAGAATGCTGTGGTATATACAGATTTGTTTGTTTGTGGAGCTCTTGCTCCTGCTTCACCCGTTCCCACTAGAATGTAAGCCTCTTGAAAGCAGGGACCTCTTCACTCTTGAATGTTGCTGTATCTTCAGGACCTCAACATGTTTTGTTCCTGCCCAATAATCACATTCCCATTTCTCAACCACCGTGTTAAGGGCTGAAGCGTGCCCATCCCCTCCCAAATTCATATCTTGAAGTCCCAACCTCCAGTACCTCATCGTATAGCTGTATCTGGAGATAAGGTCTTTAAGGAGGTAATTCAATTATAATGAGGTCATTAGGATGGGTCCTAATCCGATATGACAAGTATCCTTAAAAGAAGAGGAAATTCGGACATAGACAAGTACAGAGGGAAGACAGTTTGATGACACAGAAAAAAACATGGCCATCTACAAGCCAAGAGAGAGGTCTGAAATAGATCCTTCTCTCACAGTCCTTGGGAGGAGCTCACTCTGCTAACAGCTTGACCTTGGACTTCTAGCCTCCATGAACCATGAGAAAATCCATTTCTGTGGTTTGAACCACCCAATCTGTGGGACTTTGTTACAGCAGCTCTAGCAAACTCATATGCAATCACCACAAAGTGGACCAGGAACTTGCAAGAAAATACTCAATGGAATGTCCATTACATTATCCATGAACACGCTAGCAAGAAATAAGATGCCACTCTCAATCTGCATAATTTGAGGTGAGTTTAATAAAAGGACTACCTGGAAAGATGTGGGCAGGGTATGGGGCAACATAGGGAGGGTGCAGCACTGTGGGGCGAGCAACAGTGGGGAACCAGTACCACCCTCGGCTGCCAGGGAGAGGGAAGAGGACAGTTAGCAGGAAGCCGAAGAGAGAGAACATTTTGTGGAGAGAGAGTTGCCTGGATAAAAGCTGTGATCTTTGGAGACTAGCCAGCTTGCAGTGATGCTGCGGGGAAGGGGGCAGGGAAATAAATACCCACACCTGACTCTCTTCCCTCCCACGCCAGGCAAGGCTCACAAATGGCAGAACTCACTGGCGTGGTCCACACGGTCCAGTCTTCTGCGGCAGGAGCAGGGTGAAGAGGGATGGAGAGCGGGTCTGGAGGGCTATGTGGAAGATTTCAGCATGACACCTTCTTTCCCCCAACTGTTGTCAAAGCACGTCTCTTCCACTTGCTAACTCCTACAGAGAAATGAAGCAAATGAGCTTTCATCTTCACCTCCCGCAGGCTAGGAATGCCATTTCTAAACAATGCTCTCAGTATTGAATTCCACTGCAGATGGCCAAATGAGTCTATTTATTGAGTTTTACCAAAGCTTTATTGATACCATGTTGGAGAAGGATAGCACAATCTCAGTCCTGCCTCACCCGGGCTAGAGAAATTGCCTTCCCTAATTATTCTCAGGCAAGAATAATCTACAAGTTTGATGTAAATAAGATGCGTCAGAAGCTCCATTTATCAATGCCCAGGAAGACTCAGAAATAGAAAGAGTGGGTGGCTAACATTTGCTGAACACCTATTAAGTGTCAGACAGTTAACTGGCTTAATCCTGGCAAGAAATATGAAGTCAGCCCAGGCTTAATGGTGTGGGGTTGTAGCCCCAGCTACTTGTGAAGCTGAGGTGGAAGGATTCCTTGAGCCCAGAAGTTTGAGACCAGCCTGGGCAACACTGCGAGACCCCTGCCTCAAAAAAATAGTTATGAAGTGATATTATTATGCCAGCTTCACCAATGAGGACTCAGGCACAGCCAGCAAGTTAGCAGAGCTGGGATTTGTGCTCCGGGGCACCCCACTCTGGTGTCTTCCTCCTTCCCCATCCCAGATGCCTTTCAAGGAAATGAAATGGTTAAAAAAAAAACACTAACAAATAAGGTTAATAATAATAATAATAATGCCAGATACATATTGAGTATTTACCATCTGCCTAGGTACTCCGATTTACATAAGTTATCCCATTAAAGCCTCAAAACCACCCTAAAGAGGTTTATGCTATTTTATCTCCATTTTAAAGATGAGGACCTTGAGTCTCAGAGGAATTCAAAGACTTGTCCCAGGTAAGGCCTAGGCTCTCAATTCAAACCCCAGATAACCTGGCTTTAGAGCCCAACTTCTTCATAATAATTGGAACTACAAAGAATAGAACTACAATGAACAAGAATATAGGACATGGGTGAAGAAGGGAGAACCCATGTGAGCAGAAAACCCAACAAGCACAGGGTATGCTTGCTGCTTTGCACTGAGTCAGCAAAGGGAGGTGAGAATATGGCAAAAAGTGCTCAGGAAACCTTACAGAAAGAACCTGCTCTCTTGGTGTTTGGGAAGAATACGGGAGACTAACGGGTTTCTCAACCCCAGCACTACTGATATTTTGGGCTAATTTTTTTTCTTTTCTTTTTTTTTCTTCTTTTTTTTTTTTTTTTCTTTGACGGAGTCTTGCTCTGTTGTCCAGGCTGGTGTGCAATGGCACGATCTCAGCTCACTGCGACCTCCGCCTCCCAGGTTCAAGTAATTCTCCTGCCTCAGTCTCCCAAGTAGCTGGGATTACAGGCGTGTGACACCACATCCAGCTCATTTTCGTATTTGGAGTAGAGATGGGGTTTCACCATGTTGGCCAGGCTGGTCTGGAACTCCTGACCTTAGGTGATCTGGCTGCCTCAGCTTCCCAAAGTGCTGGAATTACAGGTCTGGTTAATTTTTATTGGGATAATAAAATAATTATTGGGGGGATAATTTTTATTTGATAATTTTTATGGGGGGATAATTTTTATTGGGCAGGGGTGCGGTGGTCCTGCACACTGCAGGGTGTTGAGGAGCATCCCTGGCCTCTCCTTTCTTAGATATCAGTAGCATCTCACCTGCCCTTTTGTGACAATCAAAGATGTCCCTAGGCTCTTTTTTGGTTGAAAACCACCGCTGTAGCTCACGATGAGGGTGAAGGGTAGGAGGGAAGCTCAAAGTAGAAGCTCTTCATCTTGCAGAGCCAGAAGTAAAACCTCCAGATGGAAGGGCTGACCTCCAGAAAGAAGGCAGAACCCAGGACCAGGAAAGCCACCAGGAAGATTTCGTCGTTTGATGAAAGGACCATGGACTTCAGCACTGGACGGGCAAGACTCAAATCTAAATATGTCACTTATTGCTCTGCAGTGGGGTGGAGGGTGGCAAATTGCTTCACCTCGCAGAGTTCCGGTTTCCCAGGCTTTCAAAAGGACATAAAAATATCTACCACACAGGGTTGTTGTGGGCATCAGCTGATGTATCAGTGTTCTCGCAGATGATTGGTTGTCATTTCTCCTCCTCCCTCGTTTCTAAGACCAGCAAAGCCAAGTTCTGCAGTGGGACTGTGTGACTGCTCTCCATCTTCCTGCGTACATTTCACTCAGATGAAGTCCTTTCTCGCCCTCTAAACAGCTGGCCGCGGATGAGTCACCACCACAGGAGAGCCATATCCTAGAGAATGAAAGGGTAGGGGCATTGCAGGCAGAAAAAACCATCTTGTAGAAGGGCATGGAGATATAACAGAGAATGGAATATGTGGGAATGGTAAGTTGTCTGGAGCAAAGCATGCAGAATGTCTTAATCCCAAAAACTGAGGCTGAAAGATACATGGTAATCAGAGTTTGAAAGTTCTCACTGTTGTCTGGAGAACTCCTACTCATTTTCCAAGATCCATCACAAAGAAGGAAAAATAGAGGTAGTTATAGGTGGATGCAAAGCATTCAGAGTAGGGTGATCCCAACAGGGTGTTTGGGGGACCAGCTTTTGAAAGGTCAAGCCCTTGGTGGGTTTCCCTGGACATTCCTATCCCATTGTCATCCCTAGCAAACGTCATCTTCTTTCTGATAGCTATTCCAGCTCCCCCAGGTAATCTACTTAATCTGTGCTCTGTTGTACTGTAAAAGGTTGTTCCCATGACTGACTCCTCTGCAAGGCAGTATGCCCCATGGTGGAAGCGGGGGGCATATATATTAGTCATCTGTGTATTCTACTCACCTAGAACAGAGCCTAGATGATAGGTATTGCCAGTGACCTAGCCAATATCCATCCTTCCCATCTCTCTTTCCAATAGAATCCCAGGTGGGCAACATGCTTATTTAAAGGTATTTGTGTCCCAGACTCCCTTGAAGCTCAGATGCCATAGGACCCAGTTTGGGCCAGTGAGATGCAAGTTGGACTCTATAGGGTGCGCTTCTAGCAAAGCTGTTGTTTTCCTGTTGAAAGGTCAACCCCAGGGGGCTCTTTATCTTTGGCCCTCATTTCCAACCACCTTTACCCCATCTTCACACCTAGGACCTTAGACTCCACACATAGAGGTGGAACAGTCATCTTGAGACCACAAGGATGCAAGACACACTGGGGATAGCTGGGCAGGTGTCTGGAGGAATCCTGAGTCCTCAGAATCTCCTTGAGCAGCTGCAGTACTCTAGGTCTTTCTTCATCTGGATGGTTGTTAGATGCAAAAAACAATTTCCAGTTTGGTTAATGCACCGGATGGGCTTCTGCTTTGTGTAGCTAAATGCTGCAACTTGGCACATAGCAAATGCTTAGGAAATTTTGATGACCCAGTTGAATGGCGAGCTCTCCCTCTGTGCGGCTTAGGCCACTCAGTCTCCAGTGGCCCAATAAAGAGCCATAAGGGATCTGCAACTTTGATGGACTCCTTCTTGGATTAAAATTTTTCAGGTATTCTCTCTTTTTCTCCCCCCAAGACAGAGTTCCACTCTTGTTGCCCAGGCTGGAGTGCAATGACGCGGTCTTGGCTCACTGCAACCTCCACCTCCTGGGTTCAAGTGATTCTCCTGCCTCAGACTCCCAAGTAGCTGGGACTACAGGCATGTGCTGCCACATCTGGCTAATATTTGTATTTTTGGTGGAAATGGGGTTTCATCATGTTGGCCAGGGTGGTCTTGAACTGCTGACCTCAGGTGATCTGCCCACCTCAGCCTCCCAAAGTGCTGGGATTATAAGCATGAGCCACTGCGTCCAGTATCTCTCTATCCTCAATATAGCAAGGACTCCAAGGCTTTCTCCTTCTGGGAACCCTTCTTTCTTAGAATAGGCTAATTTTGGAGACCATTTCTAACTAGTTGATATACATTTTGGGGAAATCTGTGAAACTGTGGCGTGGGTAGAAGCATTGACTTTGGAATTGGTTGGACCATTTGCCTTTTCTTTCTTTCAACAAATACATATTGATGGGCTGGAGGTGTGTGGGCAAAAACAGTCCGCCTTAAGGAACTTACAGTCTAGTGGAAGAGCAGAGCTGCACTGATGAGTGACTGATTATAAAGGGAGATAAGTAACACATACAGAATGCCAGAGTGTACAGAAGGACTCTTCTGGTGTTCAGAGAAGGCTTCCTGGAGGAGGTGGCACTTAGACTGACATCAGCAAGTGACCTGGATTCAAATCTCCATCTGTCACTTACTAGTTGATATACTCTGGGCAATCATTTAACCTCTCTAGGCTTCTGTTTCCACAATCGAAACATCAGATTTCCCATATTTCCCTCTTGTATTTGTGAAGCTTAAATGAGACAATGTTCATGGTGCCTGGCCCACAGGAAGCACTTCTTAGACTGTCGGTCACTCTTACGTTTTTTGTTTCAGACCAAGTTCCTGGCTTCTCCGGCCTGGGGTTGGTGTCCTCAACACCAGTGCTCAGGGTGGCTCAGACATTGTTGATCTCTGCCAGTTCAAACCTGTGTAGATGGGCTCAGAAGATCATATGCTGAGGAGGATGAGAACAAAGGCTTCGGGCAACAGTAAAAGATCATTAAGTCCCCGGAGCCGACCCCAGGAAAGTCTCCATCTCCTCTGCCTTTCCCCTTCCTTGGGGTCCCTCAATTACCCCAAGACTTCACTGGAGTCAACCTAGTCAAAGGGATGGCTGGGGTAGGGAGACAGTGGGGATCACTCCTGGGATATCCCAGGGAGATCCAAAGATACTGGGCTCTGAGGGGACTGCAAAGAGCAAAATGAGCTCCTTAAACTCAGGCTGTCTCTTCCCCAGTTCTCCCACCAGGGGGGCTGCAGGGCAGGCCCACGCTCGAGGGAAATCCACTTCCCTTCTTTGACCCCCAATTCCCTCATCTGTAAAATAGGTAATTGGACTAAATTAGTGGTTCTTAAACCTTGCTGCACATTAGAATCATCTGGGGGAAGTTAATCCCCCACAAATACCCAGCTGCTACCCCCAAACCAACTAAATCGCAACCTCTGGGGTGCAACCTGAGCATCAGTACTGTGACTCCCTAGATGGTTCCATGTGCAGCCAGTGTTGAGAACTGGTGGCTCTGAACGTCTTTCCAGCTGTGAGAATAGATCTGCTTCCTAGCTGTGTGAACTCAGAGAAATGACTTTAAAACTCCATCCCGCCACTCGCTCATCAGCAAAGGAAGAGTAAAAATGATATGTCCCTCATCGAGATATCATGAGGATTAAAAGGATGGATTTCTATAGAGTGCTGATAAGAGAGACTGGGCACCATGGAAGGGCTCCAGCACGGCAGTTGGAGGTTGCTGTTGCTGCCCTTGTTATAGCTCTTATTGTGATCATGGAGAAGAAGGAGGAAAGAGAAGAGATGGAGGTTGGGGGAGAAAGAAGAAGAAACTCTGTGTTAGGCCCTGAACTCTGTCCCTCTCCCCACCGTGGCCATGACCTTCGCCTCAGTTACAGCAGTAGAAGTAGGACAAATTCTACTCTCACATACTGAAGAACCCAGGGGCAGGTGTGCACTAGCTTTTGGGAGTGCCCCATTAGTAGAAGAGTGAGTAAACCCACTCTACTTAGTGGGGCCTTAGTGTTGCACTGCCCAGCATCTTTGGGGAGCTACTGGAAGGAGTCTTAGACATTACCTAGTTCTAACTTCTTCTCTTTTAAGCAATGAAGACTGAGTCACAGAGAGGTTAAGTAATTCACTCAAGGACACACAGCCTTGCACCAAGCCAAGTCTCAAGTCTAGGTTTTTAAACAAAAAACAACAACAACAACAAAACCTTCAGTCTCAAAGTCATTAAAAAAATAATAACACTCTGCAGCCTCCTCTCAAAGGACAAAATCCGTCAGCATTAATCAGTCTTTTTTACTTTGGCAGGGATGCCTTATCTCTTCCTTCTAAGCAGACACAGTGCCTGCAGCCGAAAGAGCAATTGTGATAATTAATAATAATATTCTGCACTTGGAATTTTCCCCTGGCAGCAGCTGCTCTAAAAGCATCTCTTCATTCAGCCACACATATCAGCCAAACGACCAGTCCACAGGAGCTCCTGGAGCTTCTGCTGCTGGCTCCACAGCCCTGCCTGGGGTCCTGGGAGGAACCCAGCCACATGGGAAATGCTTCCAGCACTCAAAGAGCTTGTTTGGGGGGCCGTGCAAAAGTAAACCAGACTAGAGGATATCACTGAGAAAGGCACCTGGCCTCTGCAACATCACTTTCTTCGGCACAGTAATAAAAGCTGGATATTATAGGAGCTTCCATTTGATTTATCATCCCATTTCCTTCCTCTGGAACCATGCCCGAAGTTCATTGGCCAAGAATAACTAACATCCATTCGGGAATAATGCCCGAAGGCATCTACTCCAGAAGGAGGGTTAAATGAGTTAAAACATGCACAGCACTTAGAACAAGGCCATGCATGTGGTGAGCACCCCATAAATGCTAGCCTTTGTTGTTAACTGCATGCCTTGGTGTCTGCATCAGCAAGGATCCCACTCAGAAACAGAAGGAGTGCCCAAAAGGTTTACCGGGAAGACAGCATAATAAAGAGACTATTTTTGAGGTGTGGGCAGGGTTAATGGAAGACATAAGGGATAGTGAATAGCTTTCTGGTAATAGCAGAAAACTGTCACCATTAAAGGACAAGACCTTAAGGCACAAGGGGAAGGACTAGCTGCTGGTGAGAGCTGGAGCCACAGAAGAGGGAACTCCACAGGGGCTGTGGCCACTGCAAGACCCACCATAGCCAGGCAGGTAGGAGTGGGAAGGATAAAGGCTCCAATCTCTCTTTCTTCCTTCCTTCCAATCTCCTCTTGGTACCTCCTACTGGAAGCCAAAGCCAAGCACAGATGATAGATGGGATTTGCAGTGGCCAGCCTCTGGGGACCCAGAGCAAATCAGAGAACAGCAGATGATGAATCTAGCACAGGGTAGTAAAGGTAGGGAGGGGCAAACAGTGATTAACCAAAGTTAAGCACAACCAATAATTCAACATGGCGGCGATGCTTTGGTGTGACGATGCTTTCATGCCATTGGCCCTGGAACGTTGTAGCTGCATTCTTACATGTCCTCCACACTCAGTTCTTTCTTAAACATTTAAAATTTTTCTGGAGAATGTAGTATACCTGTTCTTTGTTCTAGAATTCTGGCTGTGGCCTTGGGCCAAACGCTTAAAAGCTTTGTAAAACTAGACCCTAGGAAATAGGCATGAAACTGTGGGAAAAGGTTCACTCACATCTAAGCAGCCAAGGAGAGCGCCCTGATAGCAAGGCAGGTTCACACCCTCACTACCTGGAACTCCTCTCACAACTCTAATCTCTCCTCTCCAGGAAGGGAGCCTCTGTGCTGGGCGTACTTCCCACTTGCTCAGCAACATAGAGGTTTCTTTCCCTTGGGCTCTGGAGTTGGACAACCTGTGTCTGGCTCTCAGCTGTCCACACTCAGAGGCTCTGTGCATTTTGGCGAGTCACTCAGACTCATCTGAAAATGGGGATAATAATTGTCCTAACCTCACAGGGGCATTGTGAAAACTCCATGAGACCATGTGCGTAAAGCACTCAGCATAATGTCTGGCACATAAGCAGATGCTCCATAAATGTTGGCTCTCATTACACCCC